CTCTTATTTATGAAAATTTTAACCTTTAAACTAATGGAATCATTAACTTTCCATTAAGGTAAGATAAAATATTTATAAAATTAATTCTTAAATATTAAAACTTTAAAAATTTAATCCCAAAAGTTTAAAAATTAAAAAAAATTATTAAATTAAAAATAATTTGTGGATGTTGTTTCTTCATACATGAGAATAATATTAGATATTTATAATAAATCAAGTGACTAACTTAATTTGAAAAATTTTTTTTGACTGAAATTAAAGAAAATTTTTTAGTTGAATTAAGGCAAAAATTCTAAGAAATTAGAAGAATACAACTAAAATTTTTTTTTAATCTCACTTAGATTTTTTTTTAGATTGAACTAATCATTCAATTTAATTATAGACATCTAATAATATTCTCATATATGCGACAAAAACATCCATTAATTATTTTTAATTTACTAATTTTTTTTAATTTTTAAACTTTAAGACTAAATTATTATATTTTTAACTTTTAAGAACTGATCTCATAAATATTTTATTTTTACTTTAACTGAAGTTAATAGATTTTGTTAGTTTAAGGGTTAAAATTTTCAAAATTTTAAGTTTAGGGGTTAAAAACTATATAATATAAGATGAAGAAAAAGACTAGGAGATGCATGATGTCTCGTCCCAAAATTAAAACCCTTCGGCTAAGTGGTTGTTGTAGTGTAATTTTAAGTGTCGAATCTACAAGAAAGCTATATTAAATCAATAGAAAGAGTTGTCACAATGAAAAATTAAATTAAAAGATGAATTCTAGAATAAAAAATAAAAATATTTAAATAAAAGATGATAATTATAAATGATTGAAAACAATATTATAATGAACAAGACTTCAGGATTCACTTAATTGATTTGTTTAACTATTATAAATTTTGATTTCTATTTATTACTCAATTACATGTTTCCCATTCCAAACAAACAATTGGAAAATTTAACTTTGAAAACTAATAATAATAACTAATGTATTTATTTTGAGAGAAATTAATTTCAATGAAAAACAAACTAATCTATCATTACGAACTATTCAAGAGTAACAATATATCTAATCGACAATACTACAGTAAAGGATCAACCCGCAAAATAAATCTATCAATTAATTATATTCTAATAAATTACACATAAAAAGAGTATAACTAATCTTATATGAAATTTTATGAATATAATTTTTAAGATTTTCAAATCTAAAAAATAATTAATAATCTTTAAAAAATAAAATTAAACAATAAAATCTATAAAGAAATCAAAATAAAATAACAAGTCAAAATTTTCAATCAAAATCTTTTTTAATTTTGTTGAAAGTTTAGTTATTTTTTGACATAATTCTCTAATTTTAGAGAAAAAAAAAAGTCTAAAAATTACTTCTCTCGATAGTAAACCTAATTTTGAAAGCTTCTATTTATATTAAAAATAAATAAAAGTATTTGGTAAGTAAGGTAGCAACACGAAGCATTACTTTTATTTTTTCTCTCTTCCCGCATAATTGGTTGGATAGGGGTTGAAACCTCGATCAAGGTGCGGAAACCCTGATGTTTATGTTTCTATCTTTCCGTTTGCGCTGTTCAAAGCATACCTCACAAATTTAGCTCTTAATAAAAAATGGGGAAATCCAATTTGGGCCTTCAAACTTCCAAATTTACTCCTTAGCTCCTCATCTTTCCAATTCTTTGCATTCAAATCCTTTTTTTCTAATTCTCTCCACTGTACCATGAATGAGACGTTCAAATCCCTTTTTTCTAATTCTCTCCACTGTACCATGAATGAGACGTTCAAATCCCTTTTTTCTAATTCTCTCCACTGTACCATGAATGAGACCTTCAAATCCCTGTTTTCTAATTCTTTCCACCACTGTACCATGAATGAGACCTTCAAATTCCTTTTTTCTAATTCTTTCCACTGGGTCATGAATGAGACCTTCAAATCCTTTTTTTTTTAATTCTCTCTATTGTACCGTGAATGAGACCTTTAATCACCACAAGATTTACACAATATTAATGTAATGAACATTTATGAAATTATTTGTAAAAAATAAAACTCTTAAACTCATAATTCCACAAATATTAATGATTAAGCACATTTTAAATATACATTTTCTTTCTTTCATCAATGCATTTCTCTTTTCTGCAGCGCAGTGCTTCCTCTGTGCTTCCTCTGTTTTCCAGATTTTGAACATGAACAAAGCAGCCAAACAGATGCACGACCGACCAAGTTTCCTAATTTGATGAGTTGATTGGAGTCCATGAGAAGATGAAGAAAAAGACTGGGATATGCATTTCTCTTTTCTTCCATTTACAATTATGATTGTTCTTGAGTGAATGATGAAGTCATCAAAACATTAAGTACTCTTACATTCAAATTAAACTCAAACACGATGACAGTAAGTTTCTCAAACAATTCAAAGTTGAAAACCATGAAAGTAGAACACCTCGAATACATAAAACATCATACAAACAACATAGAGTCCATCATACATAAAACTAGAAACGGAAAACACCCATGGAAATGGAAAAGGAAAACACCAACAAGACATGGAAGAGGAAAACACCCAACACTACATAGGACCAGAAAGCATACAAGAACATCATACATATATATAGCATGGTGTTCTTAATTAGAGTTCGTCGGTCCAGACCTCCTGACCAAGTATAGTTACTCTTCTTCTCGCCCCAATCCGATAACGCAGTGGGAAGCCTTCCAGACGCTGAAATATGATTCTGTCATCAACTCTCAGTCCTTTCTCACGGACATAGTGGCACCACCTTGATTTCAGAACAGGCCGCGGGTTTTGGTTCGCTCGGACGTAGTATCCGAAATTCCATTCTCT